TTTAAGGCCGAGCCTGGGGGGCGTAAAGGTTTTGCAACACCCTGTATTTGAAGAACACAACACTAGTTTCTGCTTGCATCTATGCTCGCTGAATAAATTTTATGTTTCTTGATGCAATTATGTTCACATGTAGGTGTGGGTGTTGTCTTATCTTCCAGAACACCTCATACCCACCCACCCAGAGATGTGTAGGGAAAGCTTTTCTCTTAAAATTGACTGAGAGACATTTTCTTAGTCGTCTCTGCAAAATCGTTCAAAAGTTCCACGCATCTCTTATACAAAACGTCTATAGACAAATGTCAAAAGAAACGCGCTAGCACACATTAACATATGAGCTTTTACATTTTCAAAACAAGAAAATCAGAAAATAATGATGCACAGAAACATACTGTTTTGCAAAATAAAATCTTTTTATTGATTGTTTTCTCAAAAAGAAAGACATACCTTTTCATACATTACAAAGTATGCGCTCATATGAATAATGTACATATATATAATTACAAAACGATTATGTACAACGAAAATAAAGTGAATTATAAGTATATAAAGTTAATCAATTACTATCATCTATTGATCTGCTTTTTTCAAAAGCTGATTTTACGACCATCATATTCTTATTGCGGCAATCATTAAAATGTTTGCTGTCTATTAGTTTTCATGAAGGTAAGCACAATTTTCTCCAGTACGAGCAATCCCACTATACTTTTTCGAAGATTCAATAGGCGTAATGCTTACTACATATGAAAGACATTATATATTATACAAATTCATCTAATGAGAAACCGTCAGGAATTTATAGGTCTTGAAGACTTTTTTTTTGCATTTGGACTATCGCAAAACTTGTGAAGAGTTAAGTTTCTCACTGTAGAAATAATTCAATATATTTCGTATGTTTTATAAATAGAAGTTATAAATTCACAGAACGATTGACGACTTGCCTACTTATCATTATGCTCATTTCGTTGTCTAAATTTTACGAAAGTTATGTTAACAATTTCGTTAAACAATAAGACTCGAAAAAAAATACTACATGCAACATATAAAATAAGAATTATGTTGAGGTTGAAAACATTTAATCTTATTATCTTCATCGAAATTGAGTTTATCGTTTTTTTTTGTATCGTTAATACTCTACAAATAACAAATTTATGAAGTGAAATCAACACAATAATTACTAAACACTTAACATATGTAAATTCTTTTCTTTTTAATTGACTAAAGAAAAATCATAGCTTATCTGAATAACCTATTATGAACAAATAAAAATTGACATAATCTATGTACTTTTAGTTAAGACAATTTTACTATTAAACTGACTTTAGAAAATGATTTCGATTTTTTAAAACAGAAAAGAAAAAGTTTTTTTTTTCAACCATAGATTAACCTCATCGATGATCTCTTAAAATTCAATCTATACTTCTAAAGATGAAACTATTCACTGTCTTAGCGTCAGTAATAAACATTAAAAAGGTTTTATTTTTCGTCGTAAAGGATAGATTAGTTTTTCTTGTGGTTAATCCTGATCAAGTACAATATGATATATAAGAAATTTAAAAAAAGCAAGGGTTAGTTATTAAAGAATATAAACCTTGAAAAGATAAAATTTTGTTACTGTGAAAAAGAACCTATTATGATTGGCTTAATAGTTCTTCTTACTATTGTTTTATCAGCAGATTCGATGATTGTGAATATTAAAGGAAAAAGTTGAGTAATTATTGAAATATTTTTTTCTATAAAATTTAAATTTTAGATCAACAATGTTCCGGTATGTGTTGCATATTGAGTTGTTCGTCTGGTTCACAAACTGGGTAGATAATAGAAGACATAATTTTTCTGTTTGTTTTCTGAAATATATCCCTCATGTATACTTGTAGTACAACACCGGGAAATTCTCAAACGACACTAGAACAAGGTAATTGTCAACGAACAGGATGTCCAACTGGTTTATGTTGTTCAAAATATGGCTATTGTGGAAATACACCTGAACATTGTGATCAAACACCAATTAGTAATGGGAATTGTAAAACTCAAGGTTGTCCTCGGGGACAATGTTGCAGTGATTATGGATTGTAAATGAAAATGATTTTGAAAAAAAAAATTTTATGTATTTTTTATATATCATAGTTGTGGCACAACGGTTGCTCATTGTAAAAATGGTAATAGTGTTCCATTTGTACAAGGTGATTGCCAACAAAAAGGTTGCCCACGTGGACTTTGTTGTTCAAGATTTGGCTAGTATGTGGAAACAAGTTTATCAATATTAAACTTTTATTTTGATTTGTTTTTGATTTAGTTGTGGCAGTACAGCAGCATATTGTTCAGGTACATCAGGATTGACTCCTTCGGGTAAAAATTTATAGAAAAATTTGATGAAAATATAAAGGACTTTTTTTGTTAAAAATAGAAAGCAGCACAAGTAGTGGCTTAGTAGATTGCTCAAGTTGTGTTGGTAGTATTTTGATCAACTGTCCGAAAGCCTGTCGTGAGCAAAAAATAAAATCTATATTTTTTAAACAATAATTATTTACATTTTGGAAGAAGAGGGAAAAAAAGACTTCTTAAACTATATTTTTCTCAATCTGTATTATTTTTATCGGATTATAAATAAATGATAAATAAAGGAATGACTATTTTATCGAATTAATCTATTCGATGAAGGAATTGCTTCATACAAGTCTCGTGCAAAAAAAAACAATCAATTAGTTAAGTACGAGTCGGGTTTAAACGCATTTAAGTGGATGTAAATTGGATTCAAATGTATTTTTATTGGACTTCAACCCGATTTACATCGATTTAGACACACTTAAAATACATTTCAATATGATATAAATCCATTTAAATCAAATTTAAGCCAATCTATATCGAATTTAAATCTAATTTAAATTTAAGTTTTCATGATAAAAGAATTTAATTTATTTTAAATTCAAATTATGCGCAATTTATTTTTTTATTTAATAAATTTTCGTAAACGTAAATTGATCACTCCTCACTCATACCCACACCACGACACGTACACGTACACGCACACCCACATCCCAAAACTACAAAATTTTTTTATCATCATGTAATGGACTTTAAGAAACTCGATGCGATGGGACCCACCGGTGGGACCCACTATAGGGTGACCTAAAACTTTCCTTACCGCAGAAAAAATTGAATATCTCTGCCATATTTTAACGGAAGAGGCTGATACTTTTACTACTGATAAAGAGATGTTCATAACTCATATTCATAAGAGCAACATTGACAAACACTGTTCTGAAGTATTACAATTGTTTTGCATAAAGAAATAAAGTTTTTCACGAATTATGCAAAAGCAATATTTATATCGCGGCAAATGTGCTAAAGGAAACTGATAAACGCCGTGAAAGTTTTGTGATAATCATACAACTAGTTATTACTTTCTTGAGTCCTGACAACGATAAAGCCTGAATATTGGAAAGAGAAAATAGTAATGGCGCTCGTGAAGTGAATAACAGTTACGAATGGGTAATATGTTCGCTACAAAATATTCGTATTCATGCCTTTGCCATCACTTCATTGTTCAAATTAATATTTTGACTGAAGACGATCTAAGAATAAAAGTAACGATCATATTACGTCCAAATGTTCATATATCGGGTTGAGTGAAGAATGTTGAGAAGAACTAGACACACTTGATAAACAGTTTTTTATGTAACAAACTAATGTAAAACTAACAACGACCATTGCATTTACCTTCGAATATAGCTGTACATGTAAGACATTAATGTAAACAAGTGACCGTTAATAGCATATCAGACCACTAGAAACAAGATCAAAAACAAATTAATCATCTATTACGATACTAAAATCAATATATATATAAAGAAGAATGGCATAGCTATCAAATGGAATCCTCGAGACTGCCAGAATCTAGATGTCAAAGTTAGATTTACTACGAATACCTATCTCTGTTTATTGTCTGCAAGGTTGATTAAACATTGCATGCATATGTGCTAGATTCTCTCAATATAAACTATCTAATAAACCTTTAGGAAAGCACAATACCGATGTTGAAGTTAGACTTGCCCTCATTCTTGTCTCCAGCTTCAATTTAATAAACTTATTATATGAAACAAACTAGAAAATGGGCTAACGTTGACTTTCGAGTAGAACTATATTTGAAAAAATTTTTACACTTTGTTTTTATTCAATCACATATTATGATACTTACCACAAGAATTAGTTGCCAACGTAAACTTCTGAATTCGATAGTTGTTCCTATCCAATACAAACATATTTCCATAACTGTCGAAACTCATGCTCGTTGGAAATCGGAATGTGCTGGGTGTTGTATCGTACATGGTCGAACATCCGACTAGACATCTGAATCCATTGGGTCCGGATGCAACGATGCGATTTTTACCGCTATCCACGATGAATAAGTAACCATCAGCGTCGAGCACAACATCTGTTGGATCATTCAGTGCAAAGCTCACTACTGCTCCACTTCCTGCCACAGTTGTGGCGTTCAATTGCCCAAACTCGAAAAATTGAATTCGATGATTAAGTCTATCTGCTACGTACAAATTTAAGTTAATGTCAACGAATAAGCCGTAGGGAGAATTAAGCATGTTAGATGCCGATCCACTAGAACCATTACCTGCAACAATTATTGATGCATTCAGAACACCGTTATTTAAGTTCCTAACGATTACATGTTGGGCTGTAATGGAACAGTAAAGATTATTTTTAATGTCGACAAAGAGGCTAAAACATTGTCCAGTAACATACATCACAGGCATACCGCTTTTCGCATTCAATGTCCACTTGTCGACTCGACCATTGTTCAAGCCATTCTCAACGTAAATATCACCATTGAGTGTGACAAAGAGGCTGACTGGACCACTTAAATTACCGGAGATGGTTCTCATTGGGATAGTACTGCCATCCTGCCACACTTGAACACTATTGAGACTTGTTGCAGTGGCGTAGAGGATGTTCTTGGTATCTATAAAAAGTGCCCAAGAAGAGGTGCCGAGCCAACTGCTATTAGCGAAAGTGGTTGCATTCGGATTCCAAGTTACATTTGGACAGAATTTAGGTTGATTGAATGATAATCCTAGTTGGTAGAACATATTTCTTAGGTCTTATACAGAAAACTAGATACTATAACTAGTTCCTAGTCAAAATTAGTACATTTATGATTTGTGATCTGTATATTACTGTGTTCAATTTTCAGAATCGAAACTGAAAGACATTTAATACGATCATGTTCTTTATCATAGGAATCTCTTCGGATGGCAAGACTCCACAAAATCCAGTCTAAAGAGAGAGCTACCATAGTCAATTAAAAGCGTTGAGCATCTATTGTTTTTTTTTACATATTCCGAATATAATCATATGTTTTGTTTTGTCATGTCGAAAATTATTGAATTGCTGAAAACCGAGAAAAAGATTTGAACGATCATAAATATTCGAGAGCAATGTAGAACTAAATACATATATATGTCTTAACATGAAGTAGCGAAAGCAAGTTAATTATAACTGAATATTATCTGAAAACAAACGAATGATCAATCATGAAAGGTTACTTCATGTCAATTATAAAATTCAGGTGTGGGTATGTGGATGTGGATGGATGTGAGTCTGATCAGAGATTAGGTCCCTACTAACACCGACATCCACACCCTCTTGTGTGTTACAATAAATGTGAAGGCCAATGTCTTCGTATACGTTTTCTACAATCAACAAAGATCAGAAATACCACTTCTCTGATTATCGGTTTGCAAACAATGCTGATATTCGATGAATGAGTGATCGTAGTGTTATATCTTTGAATAATGTTATTAGTTTTTGTTAATACTAGTATCGACCCGTCTACCGGTATCGGTTCATCTCTTATGTATACGCCATACTGCTACATATCTTCTGTACGACATAAGTTTCATTTCTGTGTTGATTCGCTTTTTTTTAGCCAATGAAAACTTACACATATGAGTTTCGTTGTGTATCTCGCATGCGAAAGTGTCTGTGCGCAAAGCCATTCACTTCAGACAATCCATCTGTATCGCCATTTAAGGTTTTCAGGTTCGTGTCCCCGTTCAGAAACTTTTCTAGGTTTCAAATAGTACAATGCTTTTCGTACAGTGGGATAATGTTGCCAATGAATAATGAAAGAAGTTAAAGTATAGAAAAATACATTCGAACATCTTATATCATAGCGATAAAGAGTCCATCACAGTAATTTTCACATATGACATTTATTCTCGAACAGAAAAATGTGGTCATAAATATACAGAAACCTTAAAAAATGAAATACCTAAATTTGTGAAATGATACTGTTTTTCAGTTTCCAAAAACAAAAATATTTGATGGGTAGAGTAATATCAGTATTTGTCAACATAAATGTATCATACAAGGGGACCGTCAATGCTTTGATTCATCCAAACAACGTTTATCTGTTACGTCGTGGTAAACTACTTGAAAGAAACTTCCTATCCTCTAGAGTTTCTTGGAAACGGGCCAATGAAAAATTCTGAAACTTTTAGAGCAGATAGACTTACGCTTGCACGGCATAGGTTGTACTAGACTTGATACTACTTGAAATTTGCTGCGTAAAGATGACCTTATTCATGCCTTTCTTCTTTCTTAAGACGTTAACTAGTTGAATTAAACCTTTAGTCTAGATTATTAAAGACGAAGTACTAGGAGGAAAAGCTTGTAGCGCAGCCACTTTGGGACTAAAATGTGGAACTCACATATGCTCTCTAGCCTGATTGAACTAATACAAAATACGTAAAGTGAGAAACCTTTTCTAGCCTACAATTACTTTGCAGAATAAGCGATTATCAGAGTAAAGAGCTCTCTCATATTTGTAATTCGAACCGAATTTTTTTCTTTGCATCGCTGCTATTCATTCATTATTGTTTATTTTTCTAAATTATAGAAGTCATTTCTATGGATTTCTATCGAAGATGCTATAATGGATGTGATTTTCAATCAGAAAGTTTACATAAAATTGAAAAACAGAGAGAACTCGGTACCAATCACTAGAGAATCTAGCGAGAAATGGTTGAAAAATTTCTTATAACAATGGTTAGACCAAAAAATAGGCATTCTTCTATTTCAAAATGGAAATAACATGGTCAGACTATTTATCGAAAATGAAGCCACTACGCACCTGATGAGTTTGTTGATGCAGTGCTCAGTTGTTGACTTGTCGTAAGATCAATGACTGATGTACTGCTGGTTTGAAAGATGTCCGTCGAAGTTTGATCTAGAAAAACAAACACTTGTTATGCAAACTAAATCCAATCAGAATGAGATGAAATATTGCCGAATGTGCTACTCATTGATAGTTTTTTGAAATATCATGATTAGGTCTTCTAAATAAGCTAATCTTTAGCACCGAGACATTTTCATCAAGTCAATCGCATAGCGGGTGTGTGGCTGTAGCTGTGGTTGTAAGTGTGGGTGGGTGCGTTGGTGAAGAAAAACTGTTACACGTACACGTACACAGACACCCACATCCCACACACAATTCATCTTTAGAAAAATACCATATCGATCCCGAGGCAGAAAAGCACGAAGAACTCACTTATTTTTGTTGTTGTAGTTGTTTCTGTGGTTGTTGTAGCTGTTATTGTTGGGGTTGTTTCTGTGGTTGTTGTAGCTGTTATTGTTGGGGTTGTTTCTGTGGTTGTTGTAGCTGTCGTTACTGTGGTTGTTGCAGCTGTTGTTACTGTTGTTGTTTCAATGGTTGTTGTGGCTATTGTTGCTGTGATTGTTGTGATTGCTTCTGTGGTTGTTGTAATTATTGGGACTGTTGTGATTGCTTCTATGGTTGTTGTGATTATTGGGATTGTTGTAGTTATTCTGGTTGTTGTGGTCGTTTCTATGATTGCTGCGGTTGTTATTGCTGCGGTCGCTATTGTTGACGGAAGAGTAGTCATAGAGATTAAACCCATTTCAGTTGTGGTTTCTACAATAATATATCAGTGAAAATTTAAGTGTCAGCTCTTAGAATGCCGCAGAGAGGTGAAATTGTAAGACTATACGAGCAGGTCCAACTCCTATATGGTGACACCTTCTTAGTGACCATTAGTTGTAGATATTTTTATTTGAACAATACTATCGGTGGTTACTAAGGTCTGTACTTGGTGTATGCGTTGCAAAGTGTCTGCCATAGGAACGGGTGGGGAGACATAAAAACTTGGTCTTAAACTTACGCTCACCATTTTTTTCGAAAATATACGTGAGTTCCACAAAATATCGATCGCAAAAACAAGAAAGAATTATCCTTTCGACTTAAAAAATGTCAAAAAAGGAATTTGAAACGATTTCTTGCGTATTTGTATCATACCAGAGAACATAAGTAACCTAAAATCATGTTCTAAACCCTTTTTCAAATCGAAAAGATGGAATTTTTTTTTCTTGTAATTGTTTTTTTTTCACCTCGTTTTACATAAGTAGTTTGTTCTCTGGAACAAAATAATGTTCGAATTTCAGAAAATTTTTGTTGCCATGTAGAAAGTACCTGATTTATTAATTCAATATCATAAATAAATGCTGTCTACATTTTACTTTTGACAGTAAAATCATTCAACTGAGATTATGATTAAAAATCATCGTTACTTAATCAAGCAAAGATAATCATTCATGCAGAACCAATGATAATATGATTTTATCCTTAAACGTACTTACAGACAAACTCTATCTATTTTCATACTTTTTTGTGGAACTTTACACAATAATGTAAATAGGCAGATAGGTCAATTCGAGAAGTGAAAGCAAAAAAGAAATCAAACGAGAATATACAGAAACTCGTTATACCTCAAACTTTGCACAGTGCTCTATGTTGTACGAGAACTTGTCGTAGTAACAATATGACGCATGCTATAATCTAACTTATGTGTCGTAGTTAAACGTGTCGTGTTTTACGACACATGTACCACATTATTTTTCTGTTCTCTATTATTACCGCTAAGATGTTTTTCTAAAAGTAGAAAAATTTGTAGTTCAATAATGCAAATGAGCTGTACAGATAAACATATAATGGCATCAATATGCAACGATGAGCTCTAAATCTAGAATATTGGTTGAAATGTGAGGAACTATGAAAGAACCAAATACAATGTCAGATAAGTTTTTTTCTGATTAGAGATCCGTGGAAAAAAAACAAAAAAGTTCTAGTGCCGTACTATTTATAGGTTGATGCACCCTGTTTAAATGAAGCAAAAGCCTTCTGTAGTGCAAATGAAGAATAGATACGCACTAGTTGTTATGGTAGTTCTTGGCGTTGTGACGATTCTCTCATTTATTGATAAAAATATGAGTCTGACATCCAATGTGAAGCCCATGGTGAATGATATGGAGAAAGTTAATTCTGGTGGACCAGATTTAATCGTTCTGAACACAATATGAATGAAGCGATCATTACATGGTTTCATACCACCGCATTTGATAGGGTATGCAACTTCGCATTCAACCACAAACAGATCGACACTTTTGTTCATCAGTCGATCGTCTTTTGATACACTAAAACAGTACGACGTATGTCGTAAAAACTACAGCAATTTTTTATCATCATGTTATGGACTTTATCACACTCGAAACGATGGGGCCCACCAGTGGGACCTACTATAGGATGGCCTAAAACTTCTTCTACCGCAGAAAAAAAATGAATATTTCTGTCATATTTTAAGGGAAGACGCTGGTACTTTTACTACTGATACAGAGATGTTCATAACTCATATTCATAAGAAAAACGTTGATAGAAACTGTTTTGAACTATTACATTCGCAAAAATAACCAGAAATCTTCTCATACATTTACAAAAGTTTTACTGAAAGGAAGGACAAGTATGATACGAAACTTAAAAGGGATTTCGAGAAGTAAAACGAACAAAATACCTTTGTTTCTTTCATTGCAGAATAATGAATGAAAAATACATTTCAAAGCAATCTTGAAAGCTATTGTAATAATACATAAGAATTTCACTGGATGTAGTTTAATGAAATGTAGCAAAACTCACATGCACATCCACACCCAACCTATAACAAAGTTTTATGAAAACGAGAAAAATTTGATAACAACGCTCGTTTTCTTTTCGTTGATACCCGCCGATCAATCATAAAGCGGGCAAACTGACACGCAATTAACGGTGTGAAGACTCATTTTTTCATGATTGAGAATTTGTGGTTGGTAAATTTTTGAAAAGTATCTGGTTAACCTTTAAGAAGGAGACTTGTTTTCAACAGTTAAAACCAGAAAAATTCGATTAGAAAAATAGGAAACCTTTTATTCCTTTACCACAGTCAGCAAGGCTTCGTAAGTCAACTACAAAATCAGATAGATTCTGACGAAAAACAAGTAACTGCAATATGCTTCACTGCGAGTGCCGTATGATGCCATTCCTTTTTAGGGTATGCTGTATAATTTAGAATATTTAAGGTTGGACCATAAACGGTCAAATGCGATCGTATTCAATCTTACACGATCGAACGCCGATCGTAAAAAGATAAAAACGTCTCGTATTTCTCTGTCATGAAATACAGAAATATATGATTATAATATCAATTCAATTTCAGTAACTGGAGAAAAACTTGATTTGGTCTAATTCTGCTCCACACAAATCAGAAATGAACGAGCACATAGATGAAAATCGCAATCTTTGCACGAAGTACATAATCTTCACGTTTGGGCTACAAATCTTAACTTGGATCTAAACACTTCTTTGATTCATATTTAAAACATATAGTTTTCTATGGACTTTGAGAAAATGTACTCGGCTATATGGATCACGATCCTTCCGATGTTTTAACTCTAAATACTGGAATACAAAGGTGATCGAGAGTTTACGAAGTATCGCCTTATTCTAATTATCCCGCCGGTTGAGAGAGAACTAAATACATGTCTCAGATTCGATATCAAAGAACTAAAGTTATGCTAATGAATACTATATAGTTTAATAACGAGTTGGCCATTTTGTATTATACGTGGAACATGATTGGATAATCTTAAGGAGTAATCTTATGGATTTGGTATGTATATAGAACGACTTTTCCAACGTGGCATGAAAGATCAAAACAAAAACGCATCTTATGACACATTGGCTGATTGACCACGTGAAATCTGTTTTTGAATAGCCTTTCAGTGTTTTCATAAAACTAAGAAGAAACAAAATAAACCGTCTATGTTTATTGAAAAAAACTCGTGAGAAACTACAAGAATGAATGAATTAGTAGTACACTGAGACATACTTGAATATTAGAAAGTTCCAGATATAGAAAGGTACATACATTTGTCGCTTTTGTTTGGTCAAAATGAGGCTCTGTACGAATATAGCCGAGTGCACGCGAATTATATTAATAGATAAGCTATATGATCTAGCGATCTTTAAATAAAAAGACCTGGTCAAGTACATTCGAACTAATATTTTGCCTTTACCTGTTGTGCAAGTCCTTGCAAATCTGAAACAACCAGCGAACCGTTATTTTGTATCGGTGACAGATAGTTGATAGTGAAAAAGGCCGAAACTTCAACAGTAAAACTAAATGGAAAGATTCCGATCCTTTCTTTCTATACCTGAGTTATCGATCAAAATGCTACGATCATCATCTTGTCTTGGCAAACCCATGAATATGAGGCTGATTAAAACCATCAAACACAATCCAACAAGAAACACCAAGGAAATAGGTTGAATGATCCATGCCGTTCTAGCGAAAAAAAAATGAGGAGATTAAATCGAATATTCAATAAAATTTTAAGATGCAAGGCACAACAACTTTTATCGCGATTATGCTTTACTGTTTCCATGAGCTCATGTTTAATGACGAATGATTCCTGGAGATGAATTACGATAAAATAGAAATTTCTATTCTTGTCTGTTATGATATGCCATCTATACCATATCTATATGTTCGTCTTTTCTTTCTTTTTCTCTTATTTTCTTTTAGTGTTATATGAAGGGTGTGGGTGTGATCTATGGATCCTTTCTTCTATGACAACTACACCCCACCTATCTGAGTCCTCTACGTCAATCACAAATATGAAAAATATCATTAACAATTTCTCCTGAGTTATTATGAAACGCCCTTTGTATATATGCCTCACTATATATTGAAATTAGTGTTTCTGTGATTTAAAGAAAATAAAAATAAATGATATTCTATATATACGAACCTATCTTTTGCCCTTAAAACAAGTATACAGAAAGTAGAACATAACATTGCAGTTTTGTGTCTTGTATGCCGAAAACCTTTGGTATAAAATATTAGAAGAGAAAGCATGAGAATAGTAATTCAATTACCTTGATGGAAAGTCTTCGTTAAAAACTATTAATAAACTTCAATCACTGTAGCTCACTAATATAAGCGACTCTGAAAATAAGAGAGCATCGACTAAATTCAATATCGTTTTAGGTCGCCATTTCTTACCTTATGCTTTGATTTGTTTTTCGTAATAGGATGAAATACTATTTGATGTGAATAAGAGCAAACACATACTGTCATACTAATCATGGTTGATCGATGCTTATGTCTTTTATTACGCTTCAATATATACAGCCATGTGTATATCTCAGGTGAATTTTTATTCTATCTTGTCTGAATGTGTCAGATGACTCATGTTTGTCATGAATAATGATGATCATTGATAAGTATCGAGAAATATATTTTTTTTGACAGTCTTAATGTGCACACTTTCGAATGAAATGGTGATATGTTTCTTTTTCTTTTTTGCCTTATACATCATGAGCATGGATGCGATAGCCTTGAAGCGCTACTGGTCTATATTCAAAAATCATTAGATAAAAACAAGAGATCATATCCGTTCAAAACAATTGAAAAAGGTTTTGTAGCAGAATTTTAATCCCAAATTTTCTCACCAAACTAAAAAATAGGTTTTGAAGACAAGGTTTCGTATCGAATCTTTACAAGGAATGTCATTTTTTGTTCTCATTTATGAA